CTAGGAAACAAAAATCAAGTAAGTGGGCGGCTCAGTGGGTAGAAGACCCAGCATGCAGAAGAGCCTGGGCTTGAGTCCCAGGACTGCAGCAGCCAGGCACAGTGGCATGTCACTGTATGTCAGCATAAGGGAGGTAAAGCAGGGGTCAGGAGCTCAACATTAACCTTGGCTACAAAGGAAGTTTGAGGCCAGCCTGGGCTACATGAGATCCTGTCTCAAAGAGTTTTTGTTTGTTTAATGTAGCTACTAGAGAACCCAACAACTTGACCCCAGAGACTGGCTCATTCACGTTCCTTTGTAGCTCATATTGCCTCAGGATATGATGATTCTGGCTGGGGATGGTGGCACACAACTCTAATCTCAGCACTCTTGAAGCAGAGGCCGGCAGATCTCAAATTCAAGGCCAGTCAGAGTTAAACAGACAACAGAGACTGTCTTCGAGCAAACAAACATTTTGATCAGCAAAGTAGCTCAGTGGTAGAGCGTTTGCCTAGTGTGTGCCAAGACCCTAACTTTCATTCCCAGTACTGCATGAAGAGAGTGTGTGTGTGTGTGTGTGTTTGTGCGCGCACACGCACATGTGAAAGAAAGAGACAGAGAGGCAGAGGCAGAGAGTATGTGTGTGTGTGCACATTGTGCTTCATTTTCAGAGACTGAGGACAACTCAGAGGAAGTGACATTTGAGTTATACAAAACTTTGGCCAGTGCACACAGACTCAAACTATATGGAATTTGATGAAACAGCGCCTAAGAGATTTGGAAGAAAATCTTTGTAGCCAAATTATCTCCCATTTGCCCTCTAGATGCTGTCTTCATTTCTCCCACCTGGAGAACACTGGGTAATGGTGGTGCATGCCTTTAATCTTTAATCCCAGCACTTGGGAGGCTCTGTGAGTTTCAGGACAGCCTAGTCTACAGGGCGAGTTCCAGGACAATCCCCAAAGCTACAGAGAAACCTTGTCTCAAAACAAAAACAAAAACAAAAAACCCCAACCCAACCAAACCAAACAAAAAATTTATTTAGGGCTTGAGAGATGGCTCAGTGGTTAAGAATGCTGGCTGCTCTTCCAGAGGTCTTGAGTTCAATTCCCAGCAACTATATCACAACCATCTATGATGAGATCTGATGCCCTCTTCTGGCCTGCAGGCATACATGCAGGCAGAACACTGTATACATAATAAATAGATCTTTAAAAAAAAAAAAAAAAGAAAAAAGAAAAGGGCTGTACCAAGACTTCATTGCTCTGACATTCCCAATTGGGTCCAGTCAGTGGCAGGTAGCAAAAGAGCCTGTCCCGAAGAGGCCCCCAGTTGCCTGCACCGTGGTAGGCTGCATTCTTCCACTGGATCCTACACCTCTTGGTGTTCTCCCCTCCTGCTCCCCATCCCGCTCAGATAGCAGCTTCAGCCCTAGGGAAGACGCAGGTCCCACACCATCTCATTGCGTGTCCTGAACTCTGCCTACATCTTGGTAATAGCTCCCGTGTGAAGCTCTTCAAAACTACTCTCCGAGTCGTTTCCCGCCGGGACTGTGTGTGTGTGTGTGTGTGTGTGTGTGTGTGTGACTGATGGGCGTTAGTTCAGACAAGCTGGAGAACAGGGCGTGTATGAGGAAATGACACAAGCTGTAAGAACAGGAGGCTGTGAAAACATGGAGGGCTTATCTTCCCTGGCCAGGAGTGAGTCCTGCGCGAACAGGGGTCTAGGAAAAGTGACATGCTTTAAGAAGACCAATTTGGTAGTAGCACGAAATGACTTAAACAAGGGAGGTGGAGAGATTATAGTTTACATGAAGACCCAGAAGTCTGATAGCAGGCCGTGCAGATGGAAATTAACACCCCCCCCCGGAATTCTACTGATGTCATATTCTAGATGCTCATAGCCTGTTAATGCAGTGATTTCCGTCCTAGGTACTTAGCCTACAGACAGAACGGCACATTGCTGAGTCATTCTTACACAAGGCTTTTTTGTTTCAAGACAGGGTTTCTCTGTGTAGCCCTGGCTGTCCTGGAACTTGTTTTGTAGACCAGGGTGTTTTGTAAACCAGGGTAGCCTCAAACTCAGAGATCCACCTGCTTCTGCTTCCCAAGGACTGGAATTAAAGGCGTGTGCCACCATAACCCTGCTGGTCACCTGCAAGACATGGGCGTCTTTGGTAGTGTATACTGTTGGCAAACTTTATTGTTCATTAGACACCGATTAAATAAATAGTGGGTTCTCTGTGTAAACAAACACTGCATAATCATTAAATAGCAAGATCCCACTCCAAACATAGTCGCGAGAGACCTCCAAGTATATCCATAACAAGACCAGGAGCGTTCTTCCATTGGGACTCAGGAAGAAAAAGCTATTCAGTATAGCATGTTTATAAATGTATAGACAAAATTAAAAAAACAGAGGGAGATTAATTTTACACTAATCCTTTTTCCCCTTTTATTGTATGTATATGGGCGGTTTGCCTACATGTAAGCCTGCGCACTTGCAGGCAGTGCCCAGGGAAGCCAGAAGAGGGCGTCAACACCACCCTTCGCCCAGAACTGGAGTTACAGATGGTTGTAAACTGCCCTGTGGGCACTGGGGATCCAGACTTGAAGAAAGACTAGCAATGCTTTTTTCAAAATACTGAAGTCCGTTAATAGGGCGCTAGCTAGGTGCTCACTGTTCATCTGGTGGGGTTTGCAGTCAGGTGTGAGTAGGTGGCAGGAGGTCTGGGGATCTCTCAGAGAAGCAAGGAGGGCTTGCCGGACAGGGGGAGCTCAGCCAAGAGAGCCAGCACTAACGGCTCTGTCATTCTGAGGTCTATCACACTTGCTGGTTTGTGGCTAGGTGTGTTGGTAGATGCTTCCAATAGCATCACTGGGGAGGTTGAGGCAGGGAGATCAGGAGTTCCAGGATAGCCTGGGCTACATATGAAACCCTGTCTGAAGGAAAAATAAGCTAAAAACTAAATGACAGGTTCCTAATATCTAAGGGATCTCAAGGAATTTATTTAGTGGATTTGGTGTGAGCTCTCCGTTTCGCCTGTTAAGGCCAGAAGCACCTTCCCATCTTAGTTTTTGAGGTGAGGGTCTATCACAGAACCTACGGTCTTTGTTGCTAGACTGGCTGGCCATGAGCGCCCTGAGCCCCCGACCCTCCTGTCTGTTTGACCTCCCAGCACTGGGGTCAAAGGCAAAGGACTAGACAGACACTCAGGGTTCTGAACTCAGGTTCTCAAGCCTGATTATCAAGCTCTGTCCCCACTGAGCCATCTCCCCAGCTCCAATATTTTATTTTTATTTGCTTTTCTTTTCCTAGTGGTAATGGAGATTACATCCGACCTACACAAGGTCTTACCAAATGCCAGGATTTTTTCTAAATGTAGTGAGCCTTTCTGTAAAAATGACAAGTCTTCAGAGAATTGCAAGGCCATTGGTGTATGCTGCCGGCACGGTGCTTCCTGCAGTGCCTCAGCTTGACTGAGACATCTGTTGCATCTTTGCCTTCTGAGTGACTGAGAGAGAAAGTCTGGCTTCTGCCTTGAGAGACCCATGCTCCGTCCCATCAGCTTTTGTCACGCTGTCCAATTTCACTTATCCAAGCATCTACTTTAAATCCTCTTTTGGAGTAAGACAGAACATTTTACATATTTTAAACATAAATGTGTAAGGTATTTCTAGTATCTTAATCCTTGGGGTATAAAAATTTAAAAATAAAAGGCATGTTAAACTCTTAAAAAGCATGTCTTAAAACCAAGTTTCAGGCCAAGTATGATGGTGCACTGGAGAGACAGGCAGGTGATCTGTGAGGACAGCAAGAGCCAGGTCCAGGGCTGCATAGTGAGACCTCAAAACACAACCAAAGTTTTACATCTAAGAATGCTGGACAGTGGTTTCTAGAGCAGAAGACAAGGCTGTACCCGAGGATATCAGAGCAAAATGAGTGGGGAAATTAAATCTCAGCAGGATGTTTCCCTCCACTAGCAGCGTATGACCGAGAACTAAATTTGGCCTGTATTCAGAAGCCTTCCGTCTGGCTCCATGCTCAGTACGACCGTCAGCATGCTGTTAAGATGGAGGTCCCACTGGCAGTGCAGCCTCAAACTCCAAAATCCCAGCTAGTAGGAGGCTCCCTATGCTCTGAGGCCAGATTACAGAGGAAGTTCCAGATCTGGGCAAGCATGGGAGCTGGCCTTTAAGAAAAGATGGGGTCGGGACTGGAGAGATGGCTCAGTGGTTAAGAGTACTGGCTGCTCTTCCAGAGGACCTGAGTTCAATTCTGAGCAACCACATGGTGGCTCGCAGTATCTATGAAGGGATCTGATGCCCTCTTCCAGCATGCAGGTACACACACAACTAGATATGTCATATACATAACATACACGAATAAATAAAACTTTTTTTAAAAAAAAAAGGGGTTCACATTAGTCTCAAATTCCAGCAGTTTATCGTGTGAGCTGTGTCCTTATGCCAATTACATGTTTTCTCATGTAAAACATGGTGCCAACACTAGACTTGAGAGTTCAGTAATATAAGTGTACAAAAGTATGAGTTTTGGTATGGAGTCAGAGGCAAGTACACAGGAAATCTGTGAGTTCGACACCAGCAAGGGCTGCAAAAAGAAAGGAAAAAAGATGGGGGTGAGGATGGCACTTGTAGTGACTATCTCAGTCTTACAGCCAGAAGGTTCATATGCCTCCCGGAGTCCATCCAAACGTCAGACCTAGCACAGTACTGGACTCCAAAGTCCAGGAAGGAGTCTTAAAAGTCAGCAGAAAAAAACACACAGGGCAAACTGTCAGTGAGGGAAAAGGTCAGCTGTTAATGGAGTTTGCGTGGGCTTGCCACTTCCATTTCAAACTGTGCCCTAATGGAGCTCTCCTGACATCCCCTATTATTTATTGAAGACCTACTTTATCACGCTCTGTGGTTAACCATAAGAACGGCAAATCCCTCAATGCCCAACCGTTCTTCCCCTTCTTCTTCAGACCGTCACACTCAAAGGCAGGCAAGCAAACGTCATCAAAGTAGCAAAAGCCCCTGTCGGCTGTCATGAATTTAATGGAACTCACAAGGAGGGGAGTGTCAACCGTTTCAAGCCCCTCATACCGCAAACATAAACAACGTGACGACATCAAGTAAACTGAATGGGCTATCTCTGAGCGTGCCCGCCCTCACTCCCACTGGATGTCCCGGTCCTCTTCAGGGAGAATACTCCAGTTTGGAGAGGCCACGTTTCGGGCCAGCCAATTGAAATCGTCTATGTGGTTCCAGTTATTTCTGCCCCTATCTAAACCGGAGTCCTGGAAGTCCTTGTCGATCCCCTGATAGCTCCAGGTGTACGGGGCGAACTGGATGCCGCTGCAGTCCTCCACGATGGCCCTGCTGGTCACCTGTAGGAAGATGCGCGTGTTTTTGGTGGTGTGTACGCGGAGCTGTTGGCAAGCCACAGCCAGTATGCAGTCACGACAGTCCTCCAGGAACACCGAGGTGGACACCGGGCCGCAGAGAACCTTGCAGCCGCGGGCTTTTGCCAGCCTCAGGGTGTTGGGGTTGCCACGCAGTCTGACAGTGCAGTTGGTCAGGTCGCTCAAAAGGATGTCGCGCTGGTGCAGCTCGTCGGCGTTCTTCTCCAAATCTTGGGACTCCAGGTTGGAGAAGCCGCAAGCCCAGCCGAGGCCGGGAGCTCCCTCCTCCGTGGCTAAGGGCGGCGAAGGGGCCGCCGAAGCGACGGGTGCGGCGTCTACTTGGGTGGACCCAGCAGCATCCTTCTTCCGCGCCTTGAAGGCGAAGCGCTTTTTGGGCTGCAGCTCCTGGCGCCGCTCAGCGAGGGTCGCCTGCAGCTGCACCAGCGCCGCCTGGCCCTGCCGCAGATCGTAGGGCGCCAGGAAGAGAACCGAGTCGTTCAGGAGCTTCCGTAGCCCCTGCAGTCGGTAGGCCGCCTCTTCCAGCCGCTCGGCCGACGCCTCGCCCCGCAGCAGCTCCTCGGCCGCCGCGCGCTCACGAGCGAAGGCGGCGGCGAAGAAGCCGCTCTTCTCCTCCTCCACCTCCTGGTCCTGCCGCTTCTGCTTGCGCCTCTCCACCTCCATCTGCCGCTCCTGCTCGCGCCTCTGAATTCGCTCCGGCACCAGGCTCAGGTCCTTCGGGGACCCAGCGGCGGCCGGGTCGCCCAGAGCCGCGGAGCAGCCCACATCTTCCATCTTGACTCCAGACTTCCTCACCCACAGCCTTCCCTCCCGGCGCCCTCCACAAGGCCTTCCACTAACGCGCCCCGTGATTGGTCTGCCGCAGTGACGTCATGTCCCGCCGTATCCTCTTCGCCTATTGGTTTCTCCGCGCTGGAGGGGCGGGGACGAGGGCGGGGCTGTTGACAGGAGGGGGTGGGGAGACAAAGGTCCTGGTGGATGGGTGGGGTGGGAGGCAGGCGGGTGAAGCTTTTTTTTCTTCTTAAAGGGGCAGGACTTATATCCGGGATTGTGGGGTGAGTTGCAGCAGCGGCAGCTGCACATGTGGGTTTGTTTATAAGAACAAGGTTAGAAACTCGCAGGCCTCCCCCTCCCCCCAGCTCCTCCCTACTACCCCCTAACAGGCCGGAGATCTGCTCCAGGGTGGTGGGGAGGAATGTGTGCTTGTGGTGGTGGTGGGGACAGGTAGTGCGAGAAAGATGGAGGGGGGGGTTATTGCACCTCCCGGGCCGCGCCGGAGGAAGCTGCAGCTGGAACAGCTGGCCAGGGAGCCGCTTGCATGCCTCTGGTTTTTTCTTCTTCTTCTTTTTTTTTTTTTTCCCTTTTTCCCTTTTTCCCTTCCATCACCTCTTTGCTCAGCCGGTCCCTGCCGCCCCGGTAACCCTCATCCTTCCTGCCCTCCCCCAACCACTGCAGCTCCGCGCGGCCTGGGGGCGCCTGGGTCCCCGTGGGCAGTTTATTGGGGGCGGGAAGCAGGCGCGAAGCACCGCTATGAGAGAGACTGAGTTCCTCGCTGGAGCGGGTTCCGGGATTCCTGGAGGAGACTAAAAACAGATTATTATTATTATTATTTATTTTTGGCCCACTCCTGCAGTCGGAGGGGGGAGCGGGGGAGGATGACATGCCACCCACACCCTCTTTCTCCCCAGTGCGGTGGCGGCCACTCCCTGCGCAGCTGGCGGCCTCTGGCCGCGCGGGGCTAAGACCCCAGGCCGGGCGCGTCGCCTCTCTCTATAGGGCCGACCGTCTTTAGGAGGGCGATGGAGAAACGGTACATTATTTCTAGAGGTGGTGGGAGGGATTTGTCACCGGAAGTGAACGAGCCTAGCCTAAAGTCCGGACCAACCCGAGGTGCGAGTGGGCAGCCTAGACCGCGCAGTCCCTGGCAGAAGCCCAAGGCGGTGGCTGCCGAGCACCCGGGTGGCGTCCTCGCATGCTGTCTTCAGCCACCGGGCCTTCTGGACCCGGGCAGCCTTTGCAGTCCTCGATTTCAGCCCCATCTCCACCCTGATTGCCAACCTCCATTTTTGTTCTTTTAATTGGGTTTTTTTTTTAACTGCCAAAAAAACCTCACTTGAAATTTAACCCATATACCTGCGTTTTCTGCAGAAAAAGATGGGAGGAAAAGAGCCATTCAATTAGTTGGAATTGAGAATTGAGTTCCAAGCTTCACGTCCCACTCGCTTCCTTTCCTAACCATTAAAAACAAAAAAAATCCAAACCTCAAGCACAAATTTTTGATTGAAGAGAGAGCATTCCTCTACTGAGTCAAGAAAGGTGTCACTGGGTGGCAAATTCCCTGCGAGGTGGAGGGCAGAAAGGGGAGTCGTGTTTGCGTGTTCATGTCTGTGCACTTGCTGTACCCGGGTGCCCACAGGAAAGAAAGGTCGATGCTCACTTAGGTTAGCCTTGTTTAGTTAGTTTTGTTCCTGCTTTCTACTTTATTTTTTAAAGCAGTCTTATTTCACAAAAGTATGAATTTGAGACTATTGAAATTTAGCTGATGGATTTGTTCACGTTTCCTAGAGGAATGTAATAGCTGTTTTATTTCGTGATAGATTGTGTTTTTTTTTAATTTATATTTTATGTCAATGAGTGTTTTGTGTGCACCATGAGTGTGCAGTGTTCATGGATTGCCAGAAGAGGGCATCCGATCCCTGGAACTGGAGTTACAGGCAGTTAATGGACTGGACTGCTGTGTAGGTGCTGGGAAAGGAACTCAGGTCTTAAGAAAGAGCAGCTGGTGCACCTAACCACTGATCCGTCTCTCCAGCCCCCGTTGAAAGAGTTAACCTACCAAGATTAAAAGAAGACTGATTTTGCTACAGGAAACAGCAACAACCCAGACTTGCTTTGCCTAGGTCTCCCAGTATCGGAGCCTGTCCCGTTTTAAGTAAGAAAGTTGGTGGTGAAAGGTCCCTTGAGCTAGGAGCTTGGGCTGTCAGCTATGGTGAGTCTATTAGTGGTTCTAAGTGTGGACTGTATGCAAAGTAGGAGTCGGCGTCATCAGCCTTCAGGATCGTCTTTCTGCTGTCTACCTGACAGGAAGGGGACGGAAATTGCCTGTGGGTTAGCTTAATGTTTAAGCAGAAAAGGACAGAGATGGAGGGTCGTGCAACTGACTCGGTGTTTCGGGGACAGTTTGTAGAGACCGGTGTGAGGCCTGAGAGAGATCGACTTGAGGTTGCCTTGGAGCACTGGGGTGAGGTTTTCTATCCTTGGGCTGGAGTAGGTGGTCAGGCTATGTGTCTGGTTTCTGAGTTAAAAACCATAGGAAGGCTGCTAAATGCTGGCATTGCTAGTCCATGTTGCTCCTCGTTCTAATGTGTGAGGGCAGTGGATTGAGAGTATGTTCCTGACAGAATTCCGGCTCCTCAGAGGTAAGTGGCCGCCCTGTTGGAAGGAGGGGCGGTGTGCAGGAGGACGAAACAGTAGCAGAGATCACAGCCTTAGCTCTGCACCTCTCGGGGGGAGGCTGCCGGATCTTGCCCATGTCTTCCAAAGTGAATGGAGGCTGTAGAAGAAGCCCTGGCCATCCTTGGAATTTTCTCTGTAGACCAGGCTGGCAACTTTCTCTGTAGACCAGGCTGGCCTCAAGCTCACAGAGATCCGCCTGCCTCTGCTTGCTGAGTGCTGGGATTAAAGGCCTGCGCCACCACTACCTGGTGGACTTTAACTTTTATTTATTTATGAGGGAGTGAAACACACACATATACACACCTCACCGCGGGTGTGGAGGTCAGAGGGCAGCTTTCAGGAGTTGGTTCTTTCTACCTTCATGCAGGCTCAGGCTTTAGGTAAATATTTGACCAGTTTAGCAATCTTGTCTGCCTAGCCTTAGCCTATATTTAACAGTGGTTTGGATATTTTGTGGTTCTCTATGTTGGGTTTACTTTTTTGTTTTTTAGATCTCTTTTCTTTCTTATGTGCACGAGTGTTTGGCCTGCATCTATGTGCACCATGTAAGTGCGGTACCCACCAGGAGAGGGTGACATTACATATGTATGTGAGCCACTGTGTGGGTGTTGGGAATTGAACTATAGCAGCGTGTACTACAATCACTGAGCCATCTCTCCAGTTCCTACTTGATCTTTTCATCAAGTGACTCATATACCAGGCTTGGTGGTTCATGCTTGTAACCTCAGCATTCCGGAAGCAGCAGCAGTAGGATCAAGAATTACTGCTAGCCTGGGCTACATAGCAAGATCCTGTGTTTTAAAGAAGAAAAAGAAAATCTCATGTATATGCCTCGGGAAATAAGCAAACAGTGAAACACTGAATGAAAGGTCCCTTAGTGTGTGCCGACAGCACAGGAATGTGGCCTCCTGCTGTGCAGTGGGGTTTATCAGGCCTGTTGCGCCTAGGGAGGAAGCCAGGTGCACCAAGGTGCATCTGAACCCTGCTTTCTAATGGTCTGTTGCCAGAGGGGACATTCGCCTGCTCATCTCTCAGCGAGCAAGCTATGTGCGTGCATGGATTGTGAAGTGTTCGCTGAAGATCTCTGTTCCTCTCTTATCGGAGGGGCAGCCAGTTTTCCCACCTCTAATGCTGACTTTTCTGGCACAGAGACAGTGAAGGACAGCTGTGAGGGTATGTCCTGTTCTTAAAAGGCTCCATACTTATCAGGAGGCCTGACAGCCGCTTCCTTCTGCTGCTTCTCCTAGCACTTTCCTCCCCCTCAACACTATTACACTAGGGAACTTTTCCTGTTGTGTCTTCGGCAGACACAGCGCTCTTCCCTTATCTAGTGCCTGCTTATCAGAACTGACTGTGCTAGGGTGGAAGAACGGCTCGGTGCAGAAAGGGTTTGCCAGGCAAGCCTGATGGCAGCTGAGTTGATCTCAGAAACCCATGCAATGGTAGGAGACACACTCCATAGATGTGTCCTCTCTCCTCTGACTGTCACGCGGTTGACACATACATTTTAAAGAAAAAAAAAGAACTATGCCCAGCACTGAGCCAAGGAGACCCCACGGCTGCCAAAGTTTTAAAGATACTCACTCTATGGGGCTGGAGAGTGTTTGCTGTTCTTAGAGGCCCTAAGTTCAGCTCCCAGCGCCCATGACAGGTGGCTTACAACCACCTTTGTCTCCTGATGCCCTCCTGCCTACGTGTGTGTGTGTGTGTGTGTGTGTGTGTGTGTGTGTGTGTGTGCAGGCACACACACACGAAGGAAAAATTAGAGAGATACACAGTCCGGAGCCAAAAGCCTGGGAAATTACCATCTAGACTTAAAAAAGAGCTGTGTCAGCTGGCCTCTCTCTGACTGGGGAAGAAAGGGGAGGGGGAGACAGAAGCCGGTGAAAGGCTTTGTTCTGTTTTGATTGTGTGTGGGGAGGCCAGTGGGAAGAATTCACTGGAGAGAAAACTTCAGTAGAAGACAGAAAAGATGTGGCCGTGTACTCTGAGGGTCATCCTTGAAGGCTGGAGGGGGTGGGGTGCAAACACAGGTGCAAAGATTCACTATGGAAGGAGAAAGGATGCCTCTTGGCTACAAAGTAGGTTTTTGTTTTAATTTTAAAAATTATTATATGTGTATGAGTGTTTTGCCTGCATTTCTGTGGCTACTACATATTTGCAGTGCCTGTATTGACCAGAAGAGGGTATCAGATCCCCTGAGAAACAAGTTACAGACAGTTGTGAACTGTTATGTCGGTGCTGAGAATAAAACCAGGGGTCCTTGCCAGGAGGTCATGGAGCACACCTTAATCCCAGCACTTGGGAGGCAGAGGCAGGTGGGTCTCTGTGAGTTCAAAGCCAGCCTGGTCTACAGAGCTAGTCTAAGACAGC